GGGATTTGCCCCCGTAGTACCTTTAGGGTACGTCTTTAATACCAATTCAGTGGTTGCGTGTAGGCGCAGTGCTGCATCTTAACCAAGATCAACAGCGAAGGAGATGTCCTGTCTAAATACAATGAACTAAGTACAACGAAGCGCAAAGTTGAACTCAGATATGGAAATTCGGATTCCATAACCTCTTCAATGATCTCATTTGCATATAACGTATGGACGATCAAAGGTATACTCAAGGGTGACACATTCAGGGTGTAGTTCAACTGGTAGACCAAAAGTCAGAACAATGCTCCAACTTCAGGTTAAAGTATAAAAGAGTTTTCCCAAGATCCTTCATCTCAAATTCCATCTTCAGGTGTAAGGCAGTTTTCTCAAGCTCTTTCGGTGTCTTAGTGAGATTCGTCTTAACGACATAAACTGTAACTCTAGCAATTTGGAATAAGACTTCATAATTTAACACGCAATGGCATAATTCATATCCTTGACTGATCAAATAATCACTTAGACGGGTATACCACATCCGTCGGATTGTAAGTGAACGCCTCAAACAAGTTAACAGGGTGTTCCGTGGTTTTGGAACTATTTGAACCAGTCTATGTAATTCTTCAGGAACTTACATGTAAATCTCCATATCTATATCCCCATGGAGAAACACTAACCACATTTCATAATGTTGTTATCAATCACATGACGTTTTGAGAGAAACCTTGCGCCATAAGATGTGTATCATATCGCACTATTTCATTCATCTCAATATGCTTCCTTTCCCACTTGTAACACAATAGGGTTATCTTGGGTAATGTAGGGACAACAGGTCCAATACACATTTTGGTAAGGAATTTGACATGGATTGTAACTTTATTTGTCCAATAAGTTCTACGTTGTCACTTAATCAACGGAACACGGTCGATATCGTTGCGTTTCATTTATGTCGGTAGCTACCATATAAGTGAAAACATCGTCGATGATAATCTCATTTCAATTCCATTTTCTCATCCAAACTAGTATACTGGACCAAAAACTTTTTAAGTCTCGGGAGAAATCCGGATTAATCTCATGAGATGGAAATGATTTGAGACAGATTCATTGTTGTGCCATGTCATCCTCTTCTAGGGAAGTGAATCCTACGAACCGAATGATCTGTCATGCTCCAGGCCAAGACATATTGATTGGCTATCCGTCGGTGTACCGGACCGTCCAACAGGGGCGGCACACCCTCCGAGGATGTTGACTCGACGTCCGTTAAGTAAGTCTATCCTTGCAGGCATATATGCAGCTGGTATATGATCTCGTCACTTTAGCTAGATCAAAGGAATGCGTCTAGAGAAACATTTTGAAATTTAGAATTTATCGCACTTGCTTATCACACTGGTGCGGTATGGGGATCAAGATCAGACATAGTGGGCAACGTACACATAAATTCGCGCTGTTCTACAGGAACGTTGACGTTTTTATCTCCCCCTAACAACGGGAAGACTGTCTCGTTAAAGTGACAACCCGCAAATGAGCAGTAAAGAGATCGCATGCAAGGGCTCGAAAAAAGCTAGTGTGAAGGAGAATCATGATCGACAAAAGATACACATCCTTCTTTAAGGACTCATGGTGGTACATTACGGCGGCGTAACTTGGCACATGGAATGCACACCCAAATGCGTAATACGAAAATGGTCAGGTTCGTACCTAATAACCAACTGTAACGTCATATAGGTTGGTTGGCAATGGGCCTCAAGGCGGACCAACATAATTGCGTACAAGGATTGCATAGCCCTAGGCAGAAACTGAAAACTTGGTACGTTTACCAAAATTTGAGCAATCATTTAAATTGTGCTTTATGATCACTAAGTGAGGCTATTTGGGGTGAACATGGGAATTCAATGTTCAATTATAAACCCAAAACACATGCAATACTTTATCGAAAATCGTCGATATAAACTCTTCGATATTATCCTGTCTCCCGGACCTTAAGGGATAAGTAGGGTGGTGAACCCTTAATCAGTCAAGAGGTTTAGCAGTAATGTGTGTGGACAAACATGTGACCAGTTTGTCGTTTCATCAACCAAAACCATAAGTATTTATATGGTCCGCATTTTGGTTGGATTAGTCCACATATATTCCCTTGAATCCACTGTGAAAAGAGGTGATTTCGTATCTTTGCGAGAAATGATACAGAAAATCAATTTCCCTAATGAGCAAGCTTGGCAAAGTATGCTTGTAGTCACAAGATCCTTACTTCGGGTAAGGAGATGTGTCGTAGCATCATTGTTCGACCTAAGTGTCCCAAAAGGTCGGCCAAAACAAGTAAACTGCTCAATCACCCAGCTCCAGGCCGGCCACATGTGGTGTGTTCCCAGTTGGGAGACAACCCATTGGCCCCAAATCAAAGTTTCAAGATCATTTTTTTGAGGTGGTGTAAAGATATTTCAATCTATTTTCTTCAGTGGTTTCATTTATGATCATTATCATCTCGAATATCCTTAAAAACTCAACGTCACAGAGAATTTAAGGTCCCTTAAATGATAATTTAGTACCATTCATACAACGAGGAGCGTGCCAATGCTCTTAATCAGGTTGGATAGACCTGAAGTCGTTGTTAAAGATGTGATGTAGGTGTAAAGTTAGTGTGCGTAGTACGCATTCATCCAGCCAACTAACTTTCCCACATTCCTACCTAATCACGTGTTTAATTGAATTGGTCACATGTATGAAGAAACATGATTCAATTAACTCATATTAAAGGACAATATCAATAAAATTATCCATAAGTAAAACATACACCAAACTCGAATTCAAGAACATAGAAACATGTTCACAAAGTAAATGGTTTACTAAGGGAATTCGGCCAACAAGGTCATCCATGTCAAAATTATGCTCTTCCAATGGTGTTTGGTGGAGCAAAATTAGTCTCACGTATTGACTACTAGAATGGTACTCCTTAACAACATTGGTAGGGGCACGAATAGGTGCATAACCAATGGTTTATTCCATCGAGACGGAAAAAGATTTTGCAGGATTAAGATTTGGGAATATTATCCCTTATTCTTGAAGTTTTAAGTCTTAAGTACCAAGGATCACACTTCGGGCATGATGCCACACCTTGACAGGCTATAATTCTACCATATGTTGTAAAAACAAACTCAAAATTGGATTGTGAGAGAATATGTCATTCGGTGTATCCCTGCCGAAGCAGTGCATCACCATTCGGTAGGCTTTAACAGAACTGGGTCGAGCAATTCGGTAGACTCCAGCTGAATTGGGTCCATACCTTTCTTTCACATTTGTGGTAGTAATCAGATCCGAGAATTTGGTAAGGGAAATAGAACCCACTCCTGTTACAGGAGCAACATCACCGTTGGCAGTAATGACCTCTTATTTAGATGGTGAGGTCATGTGATAGAATAATGATGCATCATAAGTCATATGATTTGAAGCTCCAAAGTCAATTATCCAACCAGTATCTCTTTTGGTGGATGTTATTAAAACAGTACCGTTTTTACCTAGATCATCTGAGTTGTCACTCATTGAGATTTGATTGATTAAAGAGAGGAGTGTGATGGTGTCATTTGCTGCCTCTGAAGTGGTCCTTGCAGCTTGGGCTTCTGCTATTAGGTTGGACGAAGTGGGCCACGGCTGGCTTGCTGCAATAGCAGCCAAGCCTCGGACTCTCTCAATTTTTTCAAGTTGGGCTTTAAGCCCAGTTTGGCCCTTTGTACACCAGGCGCTGCTCCTGGTCCAATAACTGCTACACAGATTTGACCTGTTCTTTTATTTCCTCGAGCCTTTAATTTTTTCTTTCTCTCCCAGTACCAATCTGGGTAGCCATGGATTTCAAAACAGGTCTCTTCTGTATGTCGTGTTCCATTACAGTGGTTGCAATGGAGTTTATCCTTATCAATATCTTCCTGAGTACGAGATGGTCGAGTGCTTCCATTAGACTGTGGACGTGAACTAGACGCCTTGGTTGCCATAGCCATAAGGGGTACTGCCATTATAGTCTTTGTTCCTATCATAGTGGTCTTCCTCTGGGATTCTCGTTGTACCAAATTGAAGCATTCTTCGATTCCAGGGATAGGTTTCATCCTTAGAATTTCACTCCGAACTTGATCAAAACCGCTATCTAATCGAGCGAGAAAGTTGTACGCCCTATCATTTGCAACTTCTTCTTTCCGAGTTTTCAGGTCTGCTCCACACACCATACAGAGTGGACGTCTCTTGTTAAAGTCTTGCCAAACGTCCTTTAGTTCGGTGAAATATAAATTGATTGAACGACCGTCTTGTCTCGTTCTTGTAGCCTTGCACCAGATTTCATAGTATTGTGACTCATTGGAACCATCATAAAACATCTGGGTGACACTCTCCCAGATATCTTTGGCCGTGGGTAAATCTATAAAGAGGCCAAGTAGGTGTGGTTCCATGGCTTTGAGCAACCACCCGCGCACGATGACATCTTCAGTGGACCACTTTACATATCCCGGATCATCTTCATCAACAGCCGGGATTTTACCTGTTAGGTAGCCTTGCTTCCCGAGGCCTGAAGCGTGAACCTCCATCATCTTGGACCAAACCTTGAAGTTCGAGTCGCTCAACCGAAACCCGAACGGAATGGCATTGACATTGGCAGATTCAATTTGAGTCGCCACGGGTTGCATGGGGATTATAACACCAATTTTTTCTTCTGCCATTGCACTACCAATTGTAGCCTTGTTGCTTCCAAGGGCTACAGAACTTGATTTCTGGATTCAAGAATTGAAGAACCAGAGTTTTGATGGCTAAGGCTTGTACGGTGTTTTAGGGTTTTTCACGAAGAGTCAGATCGAAATCTGCTCTGATGCCAAGATAAAATTCTAGGGTTGTGGTAAATATTGTTCTAATATTATTCTTCTCATTGAGGAATATATAAGATTACACAAACTCCTATAAATTAGGAAACAAATATCTCAAATACACAAGGATACCATTTACATAATTATATACCCAAAATATCTCCACGGTCCTTATTCTCCAAGACTGACTCACGCAACAAAAATAATGAGGGGTAGTTGAGTTGTTGAAACTCAAATCCTACAACTTCTTTATCCAAAAAAAGAAGTTTTCCTTTTCTGTAATTGTTTTCCATTTTTGTTATGTTTCCATTTTTGTCTTTGATTGCTGGGAACAGAAAAACATAAAGATTCTCGCTTGCTGGAGTTACAGAGTTCCTTTCCAGCTACAAAAGTTCAAGTAATCTGAGGTGCGTAATCTAAATTTCCAATCTTTCTAGTTAGATCAAAGCAACCTGCAAAAGGGGCTTCATTTATTTTTTTATTTATGTTTTTGGATTTAGTTTGGTTATTTTTCTTGTTTTTTTGCAGATTTGTGTTCTGTTTAAGATCAAATCAGAAGTAGATCTCATCTGGGTTTTATCCGAAGAGCGAAGTTAGATGAATCTTGAAGCCATCCAAGTGCTGCAAAATCTTTGAATTTTCAAGAAATTAAGATTAGCACAAAAGAATCAGATATGAGCGGTCTTCTATACAAATACAATCCTAATTTTAAGGCCTCGGAGGGAGAGCCGAGGAAGAACCACGCGGCGGAGTTCATGGATTCGAATATTTTCCACCAGCAGCATCCTCAGCAGCAGCAGAGCTCCGGCTTAACGCGGTATCAGTCAGCTCCAAACTCATTTCTGATGGAGCAGATGGACAACAATGGCGGCGGAACCCAGGATTTGAGGTATCTTCAACCTTCGAGCCCTGAAGTCGAAACGGTGCTGGCCAGGTTCATTTCTTCATGTAATGAACCAGATCAACGTGACAATGGTGTGCAGCAGCATCAGTTTGAAATCCAAGAGAGGCCGGTAAATGTGAAGGGAGAGGCAGGGGACTCTGTTTCTGAGCACATTAATGGTTACTCGAATTCTACTCATATGATGTACCAAGCTCCTCAAGGTCAGCAAGCTCATGGTTTAGACAGCAGCTCCTTTGCTGGAGTCAACTCTACGGGAATGGAGAATTCAATGATGCAATTGAAAATTGGGGTCGGAAATCGGTCTAATCATGTTAGACAAAGTAGCTCTCCGGCTGGTGTCTTCCCAAACTCGACCGTTGACGATGGTATAACAATATTTTTGTTGCCTACATCTTGGATATATTTGTTAAAATGCTGACAGATGTGTATTGTTATGTTGAAATTTTGTTCTGGTTCCTCTAGTAATTTGTTTTGGTTTGATTGAAAAACAGGCTTTAACGTGATGAAGGACTCGGCAGGATATCGCGCAGGCAATGGTACAAATGGAGAAGCCAGTCCATCAACTTCTAGGTTTGGTAATCAACTGAGCTTCTCATCAAGGCAATCTTCATACTCAGGTCGAATGCCTCGGATTGCTGAAGATGAGAATGGGAACTTGGGAGAAGGTAGCCAATCGCAACCAGATCATAGTTTAGGAAATGCTAATGGTAGCAATTCACCTTACCAGTCTAGCTTCCCAGATGATTCGTTGGACGATTCTTCATTTAATGACCTCAAAAGAGCCAGAGACAATGATGGGAACAAGTTTTCTACTTCGACTGCATTTGAATCACAGGTAGGATTTGCACTTTTTCTGTAAACTATATTTGGTCTTCAATTTTTACTTGGCATTTGCTTGCTTATCATACTAGTAATGTTTGTTTTTCTTTCATCAGAACAATGATTTTCGACACCGCAATCTTGGCTTGACGCAACACTTGAGGTTTCCCAACCATTTTGAGATGCCTGCTATGGAGAAGTATTTGCAATTTGAAGATTCTATTCCTCGTAAAATTCGTGCCAAAAGAGGTTTCGCCACTCACCCGCGAAGCATTGCAGAGAGGGTAAATCTTCTTTTTTTTTATTCTTCTTGTGGCTGGTTTACACTTCACAAGGATTCAGTAGCAGAGCTACATGTTACCATAGCCAGATTATATGAAATCCGTGATCGTGAATACTGTGAATTTCAGATGAGAAGGACGCGGATTAGTGAAAGAATGAAGAAATTGCAGGAGCTTTTCCCAAACATGGACAAGGTATTTGCTATTATCACCATTGTAGCGGCGTTTTCTTGAATGCATGAAAACTGAGTCTTGTGTTGTGTGTTGTATTCTTGGCAGCAAACAAACACGGCAGAAAAGTTGGACTTGGCCGTCGGGTTCATAAAAGACCTTCAGAAACAGGTTCAGGTAAAGTTGCAGCAAATGAAATGTGTAATCTTTGTATCGAATTAATCCACACGAAACTCAACCAACTATTTCTTCCCTCTGAAGTGTTATTTAACTCTGAATGCAGACACTCAAGGATACGAAGGCCAAGTGCAGTTGTTCGAGCGAACAATAACAAATTCAGTGCAAATCCTTCTGTCCGGTTTGTTCATGTAAATATAGCAGTAGCCTGTTAAATTCACTTGAGAGATAATAGTAGGATGGTAGGATGTACTGTGGGTGTCGAATTGTAGCCTGTTGAATGTTAGCTTTGTAGGCAGGCTTCTGTTGTTTCAATTTCATCATGGTGTAAAAGAAAAGCAAAATAATAAATTACCTCAAAGCACTTAGTGATGAGTGAGAGTCGAGAAGTGAATTACGATGACGATATGTTATGGTTCGATCCCTTCCAATGTAGACTTTCAAAAACGAAAATCGCGCGATTTGGTTATGGTAATTTTTGCTACTGGTGGCACCACCAGCTGCAACACGGCTTCATTTCCAGAAGCAAAATCAATGACCAGCACCCCGCATTGTTGAGTTGTTTGATGGTTAGATTTTCAACTATTTGGTGTAAAAGAACAGACATGTTTGGATAAATTATAAAAAAGAAATGCCTTTCAAAACTTGAGTGACTAATGAAAAGAAAAGAGTGATGTTATTCCCGTCCAATGTCTTATCTTCTCACTTATCTTTTAATGAATTTTTAATTACAAATTTGTCCATTTGCAAAAAGATTAATAAGAACATTAATTATCTTGTTTTGCTTAATTTAAAAAAAAAAAGTTGGTCGTGGGAGACGATTTGTCTACCTTAAACCCTAACTCATATTTTCATCTCATTTCATTCAAAAAAAAAAAGTAAAAAAAAAATATCAATGAACTTAGAAGATGACTTTTCCATTGAAGAGGTGGAAGATGACGCTTCTACGGAAGAGGTAGAAGATTATGTTTCCATTGAAAAGGTAGAAGAATAATTTGTGTGTGAGTCATTTGAATTTGTCCATCGTATTTTTAAATTTGTCGTTGTCAAATTTTTTTGAATTTGGATACCTCTGTCGTTTCAATTTAAATTTGCAGACCGTAGTTGTTTTCATTTACATTATATAGTGGGTGGAGAAATATCATTTTAATTTTTTAACTTTTTAAGGTGGATGAGATTATAACATGGGTGTAAAAATAAGACCATAGGTGGGTCTAGTAACTCTCGAAAAAAGTAAAAAGCGATGATTTAGTTCCCTAAAGTGATAAAAAATTTACTTTTATACTTTCAATGGTCGGACTATGAAGTTAATTGTTTTTTATTTTTTGCATGCTACTCAATGTTCACGCTTTTGTTTACAAGAACGTAAAATTGAGGCTTTTATTTACAAAAATTTTATTTGTTGTCCATATGGCATTTTATTTAAGAGAATTTTAACGAAAAATTTTCGATACTGTTCACTTTAACGAAAAACCACATTTTTACACTAAAAAGTCAATCCTAGTACTATTCACTTTATCCTTTAATTTGTCCTTATCGTTAAAATTCAAAGTTTTCAAACTCTTTACGTTAGTTTTTCTTTATTCAACATTTGTTATTAAAAAGATTAAATCTAAACTGTTAATTACTCAAGACTAGAGGGGTGTAACGTGTTGCTAACCTAATTTCTAAGTGTTTGTGAAATTAAGCATGCTTTGAAATCATTTCACCGGAAATTACAGCAACTTAAAATCTGATCGTGTTAATGAAAAAAACAAGTACTTCTAGAAAACTGTAATTAACTGCAACATGTACAATTTCCTTTGGGAAACCTCCGCAGGCAAAGCCGTTGGTCCGCGTCTCTGTCTCCCCCTCCAACTCCACTGCACATTTTTCTTTCATTCCTCTTCCTTCCATCTCTTTTACAATTTTTTTTTTCTTTCGGTCAAACACATTTTTCTAGGTACTTCATTTACGCGTAAACAGAAAACGAAAAAAAAAAAAAAAAAACTCTTTGCTAGCTCGGCTCTGCGAGTTTTCACTATTCACACCACATTTCGCCGATTCGATCATCTTCCCCCACTGATCGATCGGTCTTCCTCCCTACAAAAGCACACATTTTGAGCTTTCGTATGAAATTCGAGTTGGGTTTTGTTAAGATTTGAATTTTAGCCCAACAGAGAGAATTACGATGTCGAATTTGGCGAGTAATTTCAATCAGAAGATCGACTACGTGTTCAAGGTGGTGCTGATTGGAGACTCGGCGGTGGGTAAGTCTCAGCTCTTGGCTCGCTTTGCTCGGAATGAGTTCAGCTTGGAGTCCAAGGCAACCATTGGGGTTGAGTTCCAGACTAAGACCCTCGTGATCGACCACAAAACCATCAAGGCCCAGATTTGGGACACTGCCGGCCAAGAAAGGTAATCGCTTTTTCATATATTTGTAAATTTTGGTGCATTGGTGATTGAGTTTTTGTGTTTCTTTGATGTGGGTTTGTTGTTATTTTCAATCTGTGATGTGGGGTTTGGTTAAATTTTGATTTATGTTTTTGTTTGAGATGCGGATGATGGTGATCATGATTTTGCTGAATTTAGAAGGGAGCCCTTACTTTGGTAAAAGTATTTAGCCCAAAAGAGAATTGCTTTTAGGCCTCGTTTGGTCTCTAGTATTGGATTGGAATCCATAACTCACTATATTCAAGGTATGTTGGAGGAAGAAATGAAAAAATTGTGTCCAACTTGAAGGTAGAAGACGGATTACTCATTTAGGAAAAACCATTCACCTCTATTTTCAAGATACCTTGAATATAGTAAGATATCCATTCCAACTCAATCCTAGATACCCAACAAGGCCTTGAAGAGAAATCATGACTAATTCATTGGATATTTTTTATGAATATCAACTAAGTATTGTAAGTAAATTGCTCCCAATTGTTCAATCATTTGATAACCAGAATCATTCTTTGATAAATGATCACTATGAGTCAGACTCAATGGAATTTTATCAATCCTTTTTTTTTTGTCGTTAAGGTGGAGAACTGAACCAAGAATCCTCTTTCTTTATCACCAATCAAATCACTGTTTGAGACCCAGGATTCTATTTTATCATCAATCCAATCACCGTACACGTTTTTTCTTATCAATGAATAGATCTCTTTACTTGTATGACTTAGATGTCTCGTATTTCTCGAAAAAGCGATTCAATTGAATATATAATGTAATACTAGGTTGATGTCAATTAATTAGTGTACATAGATCTTGATTAGTGGATACTGGTCTATGAGGTGAGACACAATCCATGACAATGAAGGGATGGTTGCGAAATTTCAGTTGGCTCAAAGCAGAGGATATGTAACAATGTTGAATCATGATTTAGTAATTGTCAATTTTAGGATGAGATGAAGGTTTAGATTGAAGTTGAGGTAGAGGAAGAGGAAGAGGCTGAGATGGATGCTGTCACAAGGTTAGAGCGGATGAATGCCAAGGGAGCCAATCGTTTTGAAACAACATATTAGGCTACGAAGACAAAGCTTCTTCAAATGACTAGCATATTGGATATATTCTGCTCATTCTTTGGTTATTACTTGAGCAAAACCTGTCATGAAGGTAACACTGTCTACAAAATGAATATTAATATGAGAATAAACTCTGTTAGAATAATTAGGATAATAAGTAATTGTGCTCAGTCAAGCTGGGTATTACTTATTACTTTATCGGAACCTGTCTAGAACTAGTCTGAGTCTTGAGATTCTATTATTTTACAAATGGAGATAATAGGAAGAAGGAGATGTAACTTAAGGCACATATATACATACATATATATTTCAATTAGTTACCCCTAACATTTGTGTCTATTGTATAAAATTGGAAAGTCCTGTTATTCATATTTTTGCCACAAAGTCCATCTTCTTGTGCTTGTATGTCTCACACTTCTGGTGATGATCTCAGATACAGGGCGGTGACAAGTGCGTACTATAGAGGTTCGGTGGGCGCAATGCTGGTCTATGACATAACCAAGCCTCAATCATTTGATCATGTAACCAAGTGGTTAGAGGAATTGAGGGGGCATGCCGACAACAATATTGTTGTGATGCTTGTAGGTAACAAGTCCGACCTGGGGACACTGCGAGCTGTACCTTCTGAGGATGCAAAAGAGTTTGCCCAAAGGGAGAACCTCTTCTTTATGGAGGCATCAGCACTTGAGGCTACTAATGTTGAATCTGCATTCGTTACAGTCCTAACAGAAATTTATCGAATTGTTGGCAAGAAGTCCCTCATTCCCAATGAGGAAGCAGAGTCCGGGAGTTCCTCACTTCTCAAGGGAACAAAACTTGTCGTTCCTCGACAAGAGCCCGAGCCTCAAGCGAGTAGCTGTTGCTGGTCTTCATAGAATTGTGGCCTTTTGACCTCCTGCAACGTGGATTTCTGCTGTTTATACTTCCAGTAATAATTTTAACCCTCTTTCTTTAATTAGTTTGCATTGCTACTTTCATGTTTAACATTTATTGACATGGTTACATATTTCCATCTTTTCAGGAGACGAATGTAATACAGCTTGTGGTAGAGTGGGCGATTTGGTTTGCCCTCTTGTAAAAAGCGGTTGGCCGATGGACTGGCACAGAATTCTGAGACTCAAAACATACCAGTAATATGATACAATTGACACATGTACTTGCCTGTAGTATGTTCATACATTTTTTTCTTCTGATTTTTACCAGCATTTGGTGGCTGGAATAGTGAAGGTTCCTTTCAATTACACTGAAGAACACTCATGAAACTAGACGGAGAGCAATGTAGCGTGTGAGAAAATGAGCTCGAGTTTGGTTGTGGAACAATGCTGCACTTCAGTACTTTATTGAGTTTCATTTTTTATAAATGTAGCTTTTTCTATATCAGGAAATGATGGATTTGAACTTGAGATCTCTTACGATATTAGAAAGAGGTTAGACTGAGTGCTAGTTGATCATAAAAACTTACTCAAAGGCCTACCTTATCAAAAGTTGTATATGAGTCAAATAATTGCACAATATATGACGGCTTTATAGAATGAATGAATTCATTTGTTCCATCAGGTTATTTGAGGGATTAGTGCTCTAACCGTTATCTCTATCTTAAATCACCCAAATCTAAAACGTACACGAATGTGATCGGCCCTGCTCTCCATCGCGTACAATACTGTGATCGGCCCGTTCCACGTCGCCTGGTGCATGATGTCGTCGAGTAGAGGGAAGGAAATATGAAGGTAATACAGAAGATCCAAGAGTCAATCGGAGGAGCTGTGACCCTGCTGGTGCATAGGAAAAGACTAGAGTTTTGGGATGGTGCGCTTTTAGTTGCACCATGGGCAAAAGCCAAAAAGAGACATAATATGACATGAGAAATATTAAGGAGACTTTCAAAATGGAATGAGGATCTTTTAAGATTTTCTTTGTGAAAATTTCGGGAATTCTTCAATCACATTCGTTCATCGTATATCGTGCGGTTAGAAATCATTATAAATCTTTTTATTTAAAATTAAATATAAACAGTACCTGACGAAAACTGACCGCACGATGTACGATGAACGGATGTGATTAGAAGATCTCTATAATCTTCACAAATGGGATCCGAAGAAGATCCTCATTCCTCAAAATGAGACTCTCCATGAACTCTCTGCTCCGCCACCTCATATGATGTGGCGAAAAGTCTATGAAGATCTCATTTTTGAGAGAGTCTCCTAGCATTTCTCACGTAGAAGAGAGAAGGAAACAAGGGTTTGGTGGATGGTGAATGAGAGTCTGGATCCTCTTTGTGAGGATCCTGGGAATCCGTAAATCGTATTTGTTCATCGTATATCGTACGGCCAAAAATTATTTTAAATATTTTTATTTAAAATTAAACACAAATAATACTTAACAAAAATTGACCACATGATGTACGATAAACAGACACAATTCACAAATCTCCTAAAATCCTAACCAAAAGCATCCGAGAGCATCTTGTTTGGGTGAATGAGATGTAAAAAAAAAAAAAATAGTATATTTAAAGTAGGGGGGTCAGTGATGTGAATAAGTCACCAACCTTTTGTACAAGGCCACAGACCCCAAGAAAAAAAACACCATCATCTATTTCTCTGACGGTCTCACATGTCGTCGGGCAAAAGAAAAGAAGAATAGTAAGTTAATATTTATAAGAATTGTTATTGGCATTCTAAAAATTACATTCTACTGTTCAAATTTTTAATATTTAGAAAGAAAAATATATTTGTAAGGAGTGTAAAATGAGATTTTTAAAATGCCAATAATACTTTTTATATTTATTTATGTTTTCTAATTATTTGTATTAATGTGATTGGAAGGGTATAATCGCTCATTCTACACTAATATATTATAATACGAATGGTGCATATTAACACCCTCAACCTTTTTATATTTACATATGTGTGTGTGAATGGCGCGGCACTGTTGTCCTTTTCATGATAACATTCATTATCTTTTAAGTTTTAATATTTAGGTTAATAGTGCTGAATTAAAGCTCATCATAATTTTTATTTATTTAAAGAAATTTATTTATAATAGCTGAAAATCGCCATTTGCTTTAACTTATTTATCGTACTATATTGTACTATATTTTGTTACGATGAAGTCCTTTGATTCTCATCATATAAAAAGATGGGCCATGAAGTTCCTCTCATGCTATAATTGGATACCCTATGCTACTAATAGCATCACATTGAATAAATGAAAACTGAAATTGCCTGCAGGCTGCAGTAGTAAACTGAAAACATAAATTTTTGCTTTGCACAATCACTTTTGTTTGTTACAGCATTATATTTCTCGTTTCAACGTTAAACCAACACTCATATCATCAACAGATTAATGATGTTCGAACAGGAATCATCGATCACCTGTCTAGACACTAGAGTTTGACAGACGATGATTACGTTTACGCGTGCTTTTAATCGCAGTAGCAGGGAAGAGTCACCTCATCAAAATTCGCCTGGCAATGCTGCCACCAACACTAGCCTATATCCTTGGGGATAAATCTTGATTCGTCCTGTAAACCGTCTTTATACAAAAACATGCCTGCTAAGAAACGAATACCAAGTATCAATTTTAGAGACATCTTAACCTTATATGACTGAAATGAACTCAACGATTCACTAAAAAAGAAGAAGAAACAGAGATCAATTGGAGCAGACTAACCCAAACCCATAAACCCTCTGTCTAAAGTGCAGGGGACTCGCGGAAAATCGCAATTAAGCGTTTATGGTAAAAGCGCAAATTTTAGAACATGTTACTATCACGTAGTTAACATCAGGCACAAGGGCTGAAGTGAAACTGGTACATTTTAAATGTTGGCAGAATGAGTGAAATCGTGGAAAGACAGCAAGTTACACTTCCAAAAGTTAATTCTGGCGAAATTTTTCTCGTTTCATACAACCACAAAAAACAAAAGCAAAGTCAATTCGTCTTTTATCTTAATGTAAAATTAAGCTTGATGCTCTCACTATTCCAGGCCAGAAAAGTGTAAGGGGCAACAGTCAGAAAACGTAAACTTAATTAAAAGATAAAGCATTTCAACCACAAGAAAGATACATACTTTAGAAGAAATGGTTGGCCATTAAAAGTTGTGGCTTCTCTTTGTCTTCTTCAACCTCGGCCGAAGCTTCAGCTTTAATTTCTTCAACCCTTTTATCCCATATGCTATCTATTAGCTTCCAAGTTTCATCATTGACCCTTTGGGTCTGCAAAAAGAGTCAAACAACAGTCAACTAGCATGATAACAAAATGTTGCTAGGCAAAAACCCCAGTAAGCATAAATCTTCAGATACCTCCATAGGGCGGGGTGCACCAAAGGTTGAAAATCCAGCATTCCCAGGTGAAAACGTAACTCTCCCAGGAAGTGTAATCCCATGAATTCCCCACCTCCCCGCATAAATTAGGGCACCATATTCATCAACCGGGTTCACTTCAGGCTGATAAATGAGCAAGAACAAATGCTTCAAATACTCATATCATATGGACTAACATGTAAACTTTCTCACCCTTGTAGATTCCAAGCCTAGAAGAGTTGAATAAATGTTGGCATATGGATCCGACATTTACATAAATTAGATTGTGAACAATTTGTATATATCTTGGGTCAGCAGGTGTGTTCAAAAAATTACATAGGGGTTAACTTGCATTTAATCTAGATCACTAAATGATAGCATTTAGTGGTTAATTTGTCAGCTGCATTAGAATAAAATATAAACTACCGATGAATGAGACAGACAAGGAAAGCACCTATGAGATAAAATAAAAAATAAAAAATAAAGCTCACAAATGCCTCGCTCTAATTCAAAATAATTAGTTCCAGAACTATCTCGGTAGAAATTAAACATTTATTCTATCAGAACAAGAAGTACATCCAAACACAGCAGTTCATAACAATCACTATCCATAAAAAAAGTTCAAGAATTACCTGTGGTACTCGAGGAGACCGTTTATATATGTCCCAAATTTCTTCAGCTTTAATCTCTCCATGGTCAAGTAAAATATCTGCATGACATGAAAGCTTTCATTCAACCATAGTATAATTACAGTTTGACTAGAGTGATACTACCAATCTCATATTATGTATATAGAAGCTCAAACTCTCACACAAAACAGAACCTAAACAAAAAAGATTTAATAACCTGTAATTGTCTCTACAGTTGAATGGTACTCCCTTAATACAGATAAACACTTGTCCTCAGCATAACGCATATATTCATCTCGAAGTGCTTCAAGCTTGGCTGCAAGCTGTTTAAATTCACAAATTACTGATGCTATTTGGGTCCTCAACTTTTTTTTCTTTTTCTTTTCTTTTTTTTCTGAAAATGATCAATGTAACTCAAATTGATTAGGCATACATTTGGCACAAGATCATTTTGATTTCGGTAGTATGCTTTCCCATAAGCTGTCATTCCTGTTTGTAGAATCAGAAATTCTGCAAGCCTTGAAGCCTCCAATGTGGCCTTTGCAGAGATCCAACACAAGTTGTCAGCCCCAAACATCTCCTCCTCAATAACTCTAGCTACAAATTGGAGCAAATCAGTAAGCCATAACACTTCTTTTCTGCATGTCTAGGATTAGATTTACCAAGAAAACGAAAAAAATAAACAAATAGATGCTGAAGAAATTCAACTACGTGCTTAATAATCAGGTTCATACAACCAGAAGACATAGGGTCCCTTAAATTCAACTTGTAGGTACTAGTTTGATTTTATATCAATAACTTGTCACTTCCCCTAACCACAGTCCTAAAATCTTAGCAGCAACTTCAAGTAGTTTGAATGTTTTGTATAAAAAAATTTGAAGAAATATGAGTAAAGTATCAAAGATAGTTAGGATTGCAGTAATTTGAGAGAAGGCAGACGGATGGAGAATAATAAAGAAGAATAGAGAGAGGGTAGAAGAAATACGATGGCACCAGGCATTAAACAAACATTTTCATCCAATCCAATCTGATCTGTTTACAACAAATTGTGTTAATTAGGTCATCTCCAATTGGTTCCCTAAATGAACTCCTGAGTCCAAATTTAGAAAGAAATTAGAACATTTCAACTCCAACCATGCTCTCTAGTTAGGGACTCCGTAAACTAGTGAGCATGGTTGGAGCCACTAGTATCCCATTTCTCTCTCCTCAGATTAAGGAGCCCATTTCTCTCTAAATCATGGGATTCCAAAGAAGGTAAACTTCTAACTCAAGCTATAACTGCTGCATCATAATCTCGATATTATGATGATAAGTGCAACTTAGAGACCACCATGCATATCTAGTGTTAGGAACATTCATTGAGTTACATGTTTTCAATGTGTTGAAATCTGAACTTGCAACCAAAAGTGAACTTGCTAACAAGATAAATCTCTAGGACTTACGAGCACATGCACGCACTATAGAGTTTATAAAATCTGATTTTCTTGAGAAGACCTTCCCCGGTATTTCAGTGTAGCGCATATTTGGCTGACTACGAATGGATTTTATATCTGTCTGAAGAAGATATAATGCAATGAAATTAGCATGTTTCTACACAGGAAAATACATGTCACACCGATTGAAAACAAAGTCGAACTACTAGCCTCAGCAAAAGGCCGGTATGGATCAGGAAAGTAGCACGCAAGGACAGCAACAGCTGCTTCTCGATATGCCAATCTAAGTTTCAGTTCCTCTGGAATTTCGGAACTATCTTCCTGACCTGTTTCAAACGTGCCCTTTTGCTGCAAATTGATAAACAAAAAGATGAACATGTTAGGCAGTAAGCCAGTCTATATAATTCGTGAAGCTATGTTGTTAGCGGAGCAGGGACGCAGGGAAGCATATTCTTGCCCAGCAAGAAAGAGCTGGATGGGGAAAAGGTCCACTAACCCGTTTCAAAGCCTCTAGAAGCTCTTCCCGTCCGATGTAATCTAAGTCCTTCCTTGCCGTCAAAATTCCAGCTTCATTCCTGTCAGGTGATTGGAAAAACATAAGCATCACTCTGTCACTATTGAATTGAAACTTTTAGATACCGATTAGGCAATAAATTACAGTATGTTCTGCAACTCTGCACCGGTAAAATCCTCAGTAAGCTCAGCAATTTCATTAAGGAGAACCTCCTTCTCCTCTTCAGAGCGGAAAAATTTATTTCTAGCATGCACCTATTGGCACAAAAAGTAGATGTTATGCAAGGATTAGTAAAAATTCAGAAGCTAGAGTTTCATATGCTAGAAGCAATGACAAAATTACCTTCAGTATGGCTAGTCTACCATCCTTTGATGGCAAACCAACTCTAATAATCTTGTCAAAGCGGCCCTTTCTCAATAGAGCAGGATCAAGGATATCCAGTCTATTTGTTGCACCTATGACTAACACCTGAAAAGGGAAAATCAGCAGCCAAGATACAAAATCTCCTTTTCAATTGAAGAAGAAAATGCATACCTGTGAAGTAGAAACTTTAAATCCATCCATCTCTGTCAGTATCTGAAGCAGACCTTGTTCCCTTTCTGCACCACCCTTCAGAAGACAATTAAAGAGACTAAAATTACTGATGTGAATTATAATAATGAAACCAACTATACGATCTTAAGACAAAAAGGCACCAGTTAACAAATTCCTCAACTTCCTATAGATAAATGTGTATATGTGCCTATTTGGAAGTGCGTGTGCCTATTTAGTTGGCACCAAATGCAGATTCATTTCAGTAAAACCATCGCACACTCTTGGATAATCATATCAGCAACTGCAACTTCAAAATGTGGCATCCATGAAACTTTAGCAAAATAGGAAGGGCAATGCTTGTTAATGAAATTCATTCAAATGGGTAAGGAAACTTTTCTCCGAGAACTGCTACAATTAAAAGAATACCAACCCTTTTACAATCAGTACACTCCATATTTTCTCACACCATGTTTTGCATGTCGATTCATATCCTTATAAGTTTTGCATGTCGATTCATATCCGTATAAGCAACAAAATATATTATTCAAATAGAAATGATAGCTTTAGTTCTTCACAAGTTTTGCACTGCTCACATAATTAGACATATAGTACATAAATCTGTATTATACCTGTAGCAATTTTAGAGTTCCTTTTTAGAAGAAAAAAAACTATTTGAAAATATCAAAAAACACAGTACAAGGCAAAGTGAAAGAGAGGTCCATCCCAAAAACGGTACAACTTTCACTGAAAACAAAAGAATATCATATTACACTTGTAACATCGTAAGATAAAAAACTATAAAAACTACCTTACATCAGCTCGCCAATCAAATAAAATTAAAGAAAAGGAGAGATTCCTAAAGGCTGGAGACAGAGAACTTTGAAAGGGAATTTAAATATACAGTCCGTAGAGTTATCAGTGAATCAATGTCATCATGTATACGGTACAGTGATACAGAATGGTAGCATTATTATCTGTATAACATGAGAAATGCAAATGTAATGAGAACAAAACATGAATGAACACACAGCCCAACACAAGCATTTGCAAAGCCTTGTCTATCTTTCGAGCCTAATGCAGCAGGACCACACAAATAAAAGTTAGAAACAAATCAAGTGCCAACCATCAATTCAATATTTTGCCTCTACCCTTCTTTTCTTTATGAAGGTGTAGGAAATAGAGGAACATAAGAATAATGAGAGAGAGACTCTATTAACTTACCCCACCAATATCAGGTCCACCACGTTTGCTACCAATGGCATCTATCTCATCAATAAATATAATGGACGGTGCGAAGTTTCTGGAACTAGCAAATAGATCCTTCACACGTGATGCTGCAACACCTACAAACATCTGGAGAAAATTTAAATAAGATCATTTGGGTGAAGCAACAAAGTATTGATTGTTTTGTATGGAAGAAATTAGGCTTTTTAGCCAAAATGGTCCTTGAGATTGGCATAACTCCTCACTTTGGTCCCTGAGATTTAAAATCGATTGAAATGATCCCTGAGTTTGTCCACCGTCAATCATTTTGGTATTTCCGTGAAAAATCTCCATTAAATAAAAACCAAAATGATGAAAACATCTCAATTTTTGTCAAATCGTTTTGGTCCATTGCTTATTAAATTGAGGTTATTTTTGTCATTTTGGTCCTTATTTAACAGAGATTTTTTTACGGAAGAACCACAATGATTGACGGTGGACAAACTTAGGGACCACTTCTATCGATTTGAAATTTCAGGTACCAAAGTGAGGAGTTATGCCAATCTTATGGACTATTTTAGCTAAAAAGCTAGAAAATTAATACAGACAATAACCAATTCTATGTCTATCATAAGACATTACAATATAGTTAATCATCTACACACAAAAAAAAAAGGCTAGCAGAGGTAGGAATTCTAAAGGAACTGTACTAACTGTTCCAGGTACTTGCTAAAGATATCTACATGGATTTTAGTAACATGGTATTTGATCTTTAAAAGTTTTATTTTACCGAGGCATTCACTCCTTTCAAACTCACAACCATGACTTCAAAAATCAGCTCAGACCTCTACAAAATCAGTGCCGTTTGCTGCAAAGAAAGGCAGTCCTGCTTCGCCAGCAATAGCTTTAGCCAGCAGAGTTTTTCCAGTTCCAGGAGGTCCATGAAGGAGTACGCCTTTTGGGCAATAGATGCCTTTATCTTGGAACTCTTCATCGTTCTTTAAAATTCGTACTATCTCCTGCAGTTCCCGCTTTATATATTCCTGGCCAGCAAAATCATCAAAGGTAACACCAGTAGATTCTTCTGCTGATATAAATTTTGCCCTGGAGGAAAAACAAGTAGAATTAGAGACCAGATAAGGTGCTTGTTAGCAAAACTTGGTACTCCATTTAAATACATGATTGCATGCTCTCATCTTCTAATTCTGCAGACATAAAACTCTGAAAAGTTGAACTATCTAACAGAACAAATTTTGTCACATTGCTTTGCCCATCAAAATGCAAACATCAGTAAGCCAAACAGCCTACTAACTCTTCTCATCAAAACAAAGTAATCCATTAAGTCCAACGACAGAATCACATAAGCTCCTATGAAGGATAACCAAAACCACAAAAACCTAACTACAACAAATATTATAAATCAATAACCAAGTCTGAAAATGATTGGCAATACCCAGAACAATAAGTGACCTACCAGTTTCTAAGTATTAAGTTACCTGCAAATAATAGCATAAAACTACAAAACCATCAGAAAAACTTTAAGCTTCAATGGGCCAGCACATAGGTCAGCTTGGAGGTTGCTTGATTGCAAATACTCATCTTGCAATGTACTCCAAAACCATTGCTTGTCCATTTCAGAAATAACATTTTTAACTCTTAATGTATAATATAGTTTGTAAAATTGACAGGGTATATCAACACAACTCAAACTTACTAAGTTTAAGTCCATAATAGTTTTTAAAAAGTAAGCCTAAAAAAGGGTGATCTTGCCAGCTATCCACAAGCAAACTCAAAGCAAAATGAAGTATCCAACAAGTCACTCTGCGCATACCGGCTCTTGCCTAATGATCCAAGCGCACGGCGCTTGAGTGGCTGCCTGGTTTTTTTGCTAGGACTTCCTAAATCAGATGGTATTAACTTTGCATAAATGGGTCTCGTCAAGTTGTCAATCCAGAGATACAATACAATGGACAATGCAAGCCGCATAGACCATATGACTGCAGTTGCCACAGTAGAATATACTTCTGCGGGTACTGTATCCACATTCAGAACCTCAACATTCACTATTTGCTGATGCAACTTCTGCCAAACATCATTCCAGCTATCTATTGGCATTCGGTCAACCACATGACGCCGAAAAATAACCTCCTTAGAATTTCCTTTTGCTTCTTCCATTTTCTCATCTTTGTAGTAAGGTAGAATCACTGCAGAAAATTTTCCATCATTCAACAGAAGGATTTAAAGAAATAAAGATGACACATGTAAAGTGTAGTCAATGTCTTGGCATGTGCAACTATCATGAGAGAGAGACGAAGAACCCATAGGTAAATATGTTTCAGAGGTTATGCCTGATCCTTCATAAGAAATAAAATCTTTTATTAAAATGATAAAGAATATACAACAAAGGGAAGTAGGTGTACCCTGAAATTCAGCTAAATAATGAAGCAACAAAACAGAAGCCATTGAAAGAAAACAAAAGAACAAAACTAATTTTACAATCACATACCAATCGGGATAAATAGCATGAAAGGACCATTGCTTAAAAACTAAAGAATCTGAAGCCCACAAAGATGTGCTCGATAAAACCTGATAGTATTACAAATGCCGAATAACAAATAAACTCAAGCTTTATATCCAGCAGAATTTTTTAAAGCAACAATTGGATTGACTAAAAGCATGACAAGAAAATATGTTTAAAGCATGGAAAACAAAAAGAAACAAGAATAAGGCCTAACTTGAAAAATAGCACCAAATGGAAAGTACCAATAACCTGGACGACAGTTTAAATTAGGAGAACAAATTTCTACCTGATATTGTTTGACCATAGTTGGAGTACTCCATATACTGGACTTTATTTGAGTTAAGGAGTCTCCAAAAGTCACTAAAATCAATCCTGTGTGAGTTCTCAGGATCCCACTCTGTTCCCCTTAACTTTCCGCGCATAGTCAACAAGGACCTGCTCCAGTATGAAGCCATGACAAGCTGTCTCTCTAACTGCAAATTTGCCTTGTTCTCAAGTTCTTCTAAGTCATTTATCCTCTTTTTCTCAGCATCCTTCAGTTTCTATAAATTAAGGGGAACTAGTAAGTGAAAGAATCCAAATTACTGACAGTGAATTAGTTTTCCTTATAAAGACAATTTAGAGAAAGAAAGGAGGAGAACAATATAATGCATAAGATAGAAATACAAGGAGGTTTACATAGGATTGCAAGACATGACTAAAATTATTTAAACAAAAACCCCTCTACACTACTTCAGAAAGCCAACATCCTATTCAGCATGGTCACTCAGTTTTTGTATTTCCCAAACGACCCGTGTTGTAGTTGAAGAGTGAGTAAATCACTAGAGTTACCAAAAAAGGGTATTAACTAATAACTAAGCCCAAGTCTTCTTATAGAATTTCAAATCTCTTCATACGCCCCAGTTTCACTATTTTTTAAGATTTGTTCCTACTTAAATATAAAATGCCAATTTATAACAACCTGCAAACAGATAATAAATAGCACAGTAAATGAGTAGACCAACAATGGATGAAAACAATATCATAGAAGTGGTAGGGTACACAAACGCTAATGATATATGAAAAAAAAAATACAAAGTTGGCAGCTGTAGTTAAGAATGCCGAACAACTTTGAAACAGAAACAAGGATTCAAATCCAGCATCACACCAAAATACCAATAAAAAGAAAAGTAACCCTAGTTTCAATAGAAATCTCAAAGCCCTCAAAAAAAAAAAATTATATATATATATATATATATATATATATATATATATATTCCATTGAGATGAGCTCATCTATGCACCGAAGCATCCTCCACAAGCTTTCTCAAAACCTAAATTAGTGGTAATATGAGATTAAGAATAACAAAACCAAAGCATATAATTTGTTTTGATTATAAACCTATTGTTTTAAGGGAACTGTGGGAACACCATAAGATTGGCAACTGTGATTACTAGCCTCCATATCACAATGTGAGAACAACACATAAATAGAGTTGGGATTCTACAAAGTCAAATTGATGGAAATGAATAACCATTTATTTAGAGCTCAAAGGGGCTATTACCCATTAATACCAAGTTATCATAAGCAAGAGGTTTGCACCTATAATCCTAAGCCAGAGATTTCCGTGTCACCGATAATCAAACTTACAACCCCATTGTGACGATTACCATTGACGCAATTTTGGGCCACCTTTCTAGCCTCGTCCTACTCCCTACCTTCATTCAATGCAAGTTCTTCACTCTAACTAAAGCGGCATAAAGTTAAGTTTACCATTAAGATTTATCCTTTTCCTTCATTTCCTCGGCCCTCAAACAGTCTAAATACAGATCCAAACACAAACATAACCAAAACCAATTGTATAACCGCAACTGAATACCAACAAATAACATGAAATCCTATTTTTCTATGATTAAAACAACAAAAGAGAATTACTTTCTTCATTATTCACCTTAATTCTATTCACATAATTTGCCAACACCTAAACGGATCCAAAAAAGTGGAATTTCAAAAACCCATCACCAAAAGACAAATAAGCAAACAAAACCCAGATACAAAAATCGCAACAAAAACAAAAATATACCTCAAAAGCCGCAACGGCCGAGTTGTTCGTCGTCCCCAAATCGACAACTTCAACTTTCTCGTTGACTATACGAAGCGGCCCGACTCTTCTAACGCCGTCGATTCTTCGGCTAATAAAGATAAAGCCATTGGACGGCGTCGTTTGGCCCAGCCTCTGACCTAAAAACAAAGTCTTAGGGGTTGTGAAATCGGGGGTCTTGATTGAAGAACCACGCGAACTGCACAGGACATTGATTTGAGCCGCGGGGGAAGCCATCTCTCTGAATTTTCAGGCGAAATCAGGGTTTTTCGTACATCACAGCGCACTGTAAGTGTATAAGACACGGCACCGAGAGTGTTTCTGTTAGTGAGAAATGGAAGTCAGGTGGGAGCGAGGGGATAAGGGGGAAGACGAGGAGGGGTTTTTGGAATGTTCTATTTCCCGTTTGAAGATTTGTATGTATCGTTTGGAATTTTTTTTTTTTTTTTTTTTTTTGAGAATTCGTTTGGAAATATTAAAATGGCTAAAAGTTTTTTTTCGGTGAAAATGTTTAGGTACCCAATTTTTAATAAAAATATAAGTAAATTTTTAATAAAAATATAAGTAAATTCTGAAAAAAAAAATATGTATATTTAAAAGCATTGTTTTAAAAATCTCTATCTAGAGTGGCTTAAGTCCCGTCTAGGTGCTAAGCAGTTGGACATCGTTCCAATTAATGTCTAGGCGTTTGAAAATTTAGAAATGGCACCTAAACATGCTAAGGCACCTGCCTAGACCGCCTAGGCATCCGCTAGCCCACCTAGACCCACCTAGGTTGCGACTCACTTAGACAGAAAAATAGATAACTTTCATTTTACATTTTTTTTTAATAAATTGTAAGAGACTTGTTGAATACTTAAATGAACACACATTATATGTTTGTTCCCCATGTTTTCATTATGTTTCAATACTTCATAATATATATGTCATTTTATTTTGTAATTTATGATGTAATTATATATATTTTAAGTATAAATAGACATTTATTTACATGAAATATAACAAATTTACTTGAATCCGCCTAATCCGCCTAAACCCCACCTAGGCTCCTAGGCGCTAAGCCCCAGCCCGCCGTCTAACTAGCGCCTAGCGTCTTTTTGAACCTTGTTTAAAAGGAACATGATCCTCTCCGGATCTATTTCCACATTCTATTCGTTTATCGTATATCATGCGGTCAGTTTTCATAAGATACTATTTGTATTTAATTTTAAATAATAAAAAATCTAATGATTTCTAACTGCATAATACACGATGAATGACCAAAATGTAAGAATCCTTAAGATCCCCACAATTTGAATCCGAATAGGATCCAATTCCTATTTAAAAGAGCACATAAGTCCTTTTGAAATTTAAAAATATTTTTTAATTATTTTAAAAGCACTCTCTCCGTTTGATTTCGAAGGAAATCGATTCTAATCACTTCGGCCACCACCATAATGCGTTTAGCAGTCTAAAAATAAATATTTTAAAACCACTTTAGCTAATTTTTTTTTATCTCTAACTATGCAGAATTATTTTTTATTTTTCTTAATATTTTTTAAATATTTTTGCCAAGCTTAATCTGGCATGGAACTGCACGTTACCTGCCCTAGGCCAAACTTAGCCTGAAGGGTTGTAGGTGTAGCAAACCCAAATAAAACGGTTGGCTTCTTGGCTTGGTGTGATGATGGCTGAGATCAGTTGCGCTCAGGTACGCGAGAACCTTCTGAGCGTGAATGCATCCGACGGATACAGTTTTAGCAAATATTCAATGGAGAAATCGTGCGGATGGAAGACTTGTTACCTGGCTAGTACAGTTATCCGATTCTGATCCAAAACGTTACATCCCACAGTTTGTTATCCCCCTCTGACATTACAACAACAACAACAACAACAACAAAACCTTTTCCCACTAAGTGGGGTCGGCTATATGAATCCTAGAACGCCATTGCGCTCGGTTTTGTGTCATGTCCTCCGTTAGATCCAAGTACTCTAAGTCTTTTCTTAGAGTCTCTTCCAAAGTTTTCCTAGGTCTTCCTCTACCCCTTCGGCCCTGAACCTCTGTCCCGTAGTCACATCTTCGAACCGGAGCGTCAGTCGGCCTTCTTTGCACATGTCCAAATCACCGGAGCCGATTTTATCTCATCTTTCCTACAATTTCGGCTACTCCTACGTTACCTCGGATATCCTCATTCCCAATCTTATCCTTTCTCGTGTGCCCACACATCCCACGAAGCATCCTCATCTCCGTTACACCCATTTTGTGTACGTGGTGATGCTTCACCACCCAACATTCTGTGCCATACAACATCACTGGCCTTATTGCCGTCCTATAAAATTTTCCCTTGAGCTTCAGTGGCCTACGACGGTCACACAACACGCCGGATGCACTCTTTCCATCCAGCTCGTATTCTATGGTTGAGATCTCCATCTAATTCTCCGTTCTCTTGCAAGATAGATCCTAGGTAGCGAAAACGGTCGCTTTTTGTGATCTTCGCTAGATTGCTCCGATCATTAGTGTGGATAAGTATATAAATGGATAGAGATAGGAAAGCAAACACAAGATGTACGTGGTTCACCCAGATTAGCTACGTCCACGGAATAGAAGAGTTCTCATTAATTGTGAAGGGTTTACACAAGTACATAGGTTCAAGCTCTCATTTAGTGAGTACAAGTGAATGATTTAGTACAAATGACATTAGGAAATATTGTGGGAGAAAGATCTCGTAATCACGAAACTTCTAAGTATCGGAGTGTGGTGTCGTCTTGACTTGCCTTATCTGTCTCATAGGTAGATGTGGCATCTTTTCTGGAAGTACTCTTCCTCCATCCAGGGGTGGTATCTTTAACTGGTGGAGATGCACAAGGTAATGTATTAATTTCACTTGAAGCTTACTTGTAGTTTCAGGCTTGGTCAAGCGCGATACAAACCATGTAGTAGGAGTCCCCCAAGTCGCCGAGCTAGGAGGTCTGCTGAAAGAGGTGACAGACAAGGTAAGCAATCAGAGCTCCGACTGATTGTTCACCTTCTCCCCATCTTGCAACAGCATGAAGGATAAAGAGAAGAAAAATGAGAAGAGATGATATGAGATACTTTTGCTTTTGAAGAAGTAACTTTCCACAGGCTTATTCTTGAACTGAGCTGGAGGGTTTTCTGGTTTCCTCCAGAGTATAAGGCCGACTGAAAAATTTGAGGGTCAAAACAAGTCCATCAAATCTAGAGTACGTTCCACCCTGCTAATATGGGATACTTTTGCTTTTGACAGAGTAATGGATGTATCGGCACGTGTGCTGTTACGCTTGTCTCCACATGCTTCCTTGTATCCTTCGCACTTGCCCTATCTGTTCCTCAAGCAGATGCGGAATCTTCCCTGGAAACATAAGATGTTGAAGATGAGAGTACTCGAGAGCAATGCCAGGTAAGTAATCAGGTAAGGGGTTCCAGGCAGTCAGTTCCTGGCTGGAAGCTTGATTCCAAGTGCTGACTGATTGCTCTCTTTCTCCTTGTCTTGCAGGTAAAAACAAGGCCAAAAGAAAAGACAGGGAAAAAGCATGATATGGGATACTCTTGCTTTTAACCCTGATGATATGAGATATTCTTGCTCTAGTATAGCTTGTTTGCAGAGGTATTATCGGGGGGAAAGAAAACTGAATATTTCGAAAGGCTTCGTTCGGAGTGCCCTCTCAGATATGATGAAGGGTTGAGCATTTTTGCAGGTCTGCCTGTCCGTTGGGGATGGAGGTCGACATATATAGGAGTCTCCCTAACAACAAGTAGTAATGCTATTCCTTTACCCTGCTTGGTCATAGCACGGTAGTGGGAGCTGCCAGTTTCACATGTTTTAACTCTGTCAGAGCACTTTGAAAAAGTGGTCTGTGGTATCTGGCTCTCGAGATTCGGAGAACGATGCCTCTTCGATTTTTGAGAAAGCAATCATGCTGGGGGTCTGACTCTCGAGATTCGGAGAGCAGTGTCTCTTCGATTTTTGAGGAAGTAATCATGTTGGGAGTCTGGCTCTCGAGATTCGGAGGGCGGTGCCTCTTCGATTTTGGAGCAAGCAATCTTGTTGGGGGTGTTTTCTCGAATGTGAGTAAAGGTTGGGCATGTTTGCTAGTCTACCTTGCCACGAAGCACAAAGGTTGACACACAGAGACTTTCCAATTATCCAGCAGTGGTACTGTTCCTTTACCCTCTCTTCGATTTTGAGAAAGTAGTCATGTTGGGAGTCTGGCTCTTGAGATTCGGAGGACGGTGCCTCTTCGATTTTGGAGCAAGCAATCTTGTTGGGAGTGTTTTCTCGAATGTGAGTAAAGGTTGGGCATGTTTGCTAGTCTACCTTGCCACGAAGCACAGAGGTTGACACACAGGGACTTTCCAATTATCCAGCAGTGGTACTGTTCCTTTACCCTTGTGGGTAATAATATGGTAGTTAGACCTTCAAAATTTATGTGTCTAAACTTTGTTAGTGCTGTTTCTTTGCTATTCTTTTACCCTTCTTGGTCAGAGCGATGTAGTGGGAGCTGCAAGCTTCACGTGCTCAACTTTGGCAGAGAACTTTGGCAAAGTTATATGTGGTACCCATGAGCTATTGTTGCGTGTGGGAAGTGGGTGATTGAACAGAAAGATTCATGTGCTTTCTACTTCACCAGAAGTCTTCGACAGAATGCCCATAATTTCTGCAAAGCTGAGTGTGCGTGTGACAGGTGCTGACAAGGCTAGAAAAGTAGGTGCCTCTTCGAATTCTGAGATCGGCCCTCGTGGTCTCTGAGCAGCCCAGCTTTTGAGAAAGCGAGCGCCTATTCGATTGATTCGGAGAACGATGCCTCATCGATTTTTTAGAAAGCAATCATGCTAGGGGTCTGGCTCTCGAGATTCGGGGAGCAGTGTCTCTTCGATTTTTGAGAAAGTAATCATGTTGGGAGTCTGGCTCTCGAGATTCGGAGGGCGGTGCCTCTTCGATTTTGGAGCAAGCAATCTTGTTGGGAGTGTTTTCTCGAATGTGAGTAAAGGTTGGGCATGTTTGCTAGTCTACCTTGCCACGAATCACAGAGGTTGACACACAGGGACTTTCCAATTATCCAGCAATGGTACTGTTCCTTTACCCTCTCTTCGATTTTTAAGAAAGTAGTCATGTTGGGAGTCTGGCTCTTGAGATTCGGAGGACGGTGCCTCTTCGATTTTGGAGCAAGCAATCTTATTGGGAGTGTTTTCTCGAATGTGAGTAAAGGTTGGGCATGTTTGCTAGTCTACCTTGCCACGAAGCACAGAGGTTGACACACAGGGACTTTCCAATTATCCAGCAGTGGTACTGTTCCTTTACCCTTGTGGGTAATAATATGGTAGCTAGACCTTCAAAATTTATGGGTCTAAACTTTGTTAGTGCTGTTTCTTTGCTATTCTTTTACC